TTGTCAGTTTTCGGCTCTCGGAAGGGCGCCGTGGCCGTCATTTTCCAGGCTTGCGCCCGCCAGGTTTGGGCCTCAGGTCGTTTTCACTAAACCACGTTTTACTAAAGGGGGGTCTGTCCATCCCCGAGGGGGGGAACCGACATCTGACTCTCTCGACCTCACTACGGATCTCACTCAACGTGACACCACGGGACCTTTGTCGATCTCATTATCGATCTCATGTTTTGGGACACCACTGGATACCTCGATCTCACTATCGATCTCACTATCGATCTCACTATCGACCTCACTCAACGAGACACCACGGGACACCGCGGGACACCGCGAGCCACCGCCAGACGGACGGACGGACGGGCGGGCGGGGGAGAATCATGTGTCTTTTTTCCGCCCTAGCAACGGCGGACACCACGGGACACCACGGGACACCGCGGGACACCGCGGGCCACCGCGGACCACCGCTCGACAGTCGGGAGGGGGAGAATCATTTGTCTTGACTTCGCCCTAGCAACTGCGGACACCACGGGACACCGCTGGACACCGCGGGCCACCGCCGGTCGGGCGGGAGGGGGAGAATCATTTGTCTTGACTTCGCCCTAGTAACGGCGGGTTCATTCCTCTCGCGCGCCTACGTCGCTTCGCCTCGCCCGCACGCACGACACGAACGAAACGAAACGGTTTCCCTGTTGGGGGTCGCCGTTCCACTGCGATCTCACCCCCAAACCTTCGATTTTCGGACTCCCAGATTCTGGTATATTTCAAGCGCCTTCTTACTTCAAGAGCCGAGTGGTTTTCACTCTGCCCTCTTCAGGAGGCGGGAGGAAGCCCAACCCACTTCCAACGCCGTCCCAGTTCATGTTTCTACCTTTCTCTTCCGACCGATGGGCACTGAGCCTTCCCCGAAGACTAGGCCTCCTAGATGGGGTCGGAGCAGATGGTGTTGGAGGATCGCGCCGCATCGCCGATGCATCGCCGATGCGGCTCGACGTGGAGCCCGATTTGCCTCACGCCGACGTCGCCGATGCATCGCCGATGCCGACGATGCATCGGTGGTGCATCGCCGATGCATCGCCGATGCGGCGCGGTTCGCCGACCCCATCTGCTCCGACCCCACCTAGGAAGGCCTCGAGGGACGCCCACAGCTTCTCAGGAGGCCCGAGGGCTTTGAGAAGCCCCCCGACTTCTGAGAAGGCCTCCTCCTCCCCACTTCCCCCCCTCTCGCTCGCTCGCCGCCGAGAGGAGGGAGGGAGGGAGGAGCCCAGAGGAGAAGCAGGCCAGAGGAGAAGCAGGCAGCATTGCCGATGCCCCACCCCGTGCCTCCTCTGCGCCCGTCATCAGAATACCGGGAGGCCTTCGTCGCCACGCGTGGCGTCGCCTTGGAATTCTGGTCCGAACGCCCCCCCCGGGAAGCCCGTGGAGGAGGGGAATGAGTGCCGTTGTGTCCGCCCAGGAAGGGAGGAGGAGGAGGAGGAGGAGGAGGAGGAGGAGGAGGAGGAGGAGGAGGAGGAGGAGGAGGCGAGCAAGGGACAGAGACAGGGAAGGGCTGTGAGAAGATGCCCGCCCCGCGCGGAGGATGCCCGACGGGGGGGACGTCGAGATGGGGGAGGCGTCGGCCGGCCCCAGGGCGGGTCAGGTCGTCTGGGGCGACGAGGCCGGGCCCGGGCCCTGCCCGCAGGGGGGGCGGCGGGAGCAGGGGGCGGTCGAGGCAGGCGGTGCTTCTCTGCCCGCATGGTGAGGAGGAGGAGGAGGAGGAGGAGGAAGAGGAGGAGGAGGAGGAGGAGGAGGAGGAGGAGGAGGAGGAGGAGGAGGAGGAGGCTGGAGGAGGAGCAGAGGGGGGGACATGGGCCCCCTCGCGTGGTGAGCGTGATCGCGACGGAAGGCTGCACGCCGGTCGTCGAACGTATGTTATATTGGATTCTCAGATCCCAGCATATATTTTTGGCGCCCTCCCACTTCAAGGGCTCCCTCGAGGGCGCGAAGTTATTCGCGCTTCGCGGTCCTCGTTCCTTCTCCCCCTCCTCCTCGTCCTCCTCTTCTCCCTTTGGGGGGGCGGCGCGAGAGCGCGAAGTTATTCGCGCTTCGCGCTTCGCGCAGCGCGAAGCGCGAAGTTGGGAGCCCTAGATCAACTGGTGTCCTTCTTCCCTCCACTTCAGGGGGCGTGCTGAAGCCCAATCTACTTTCAACGCCTTCCTACTTCATGTTTCTGCCTACCTACTTCTTCCGACCGATGGGTACTGGCAGAATCTGGCCTTTGGGCTTCCTCCTCGGGACCGTCAAGCAGCGTCTTGGGTCGGCAAGTCGGTCCCGTGGTCCAGACCTCTCGGGGCACGCATGGGCCATCAGAGGGCCTCGTCCCCGTGGGCGTGGCATAGACCGCACGAAGACGCCGACTCGGGAGGCGGCAGACACCTCGTCGCCCGTGACTCGCCGCCCAGTCGAGATGTCCAGACCCGTCGAGTAATCGTGACGGGAGGTTTTTCTATACGCTCGGCCCTTGGGGGGCCCTTGCCGGGCCTCGGGAGCGGCAACGAAACGATTCAGGATGAAAAACCGGTCTTGGGGAGTGGGTCGAGAGTTTCGGGAGTCGATGTTATGAAAAAATCATGACGTCGGGGGTCTGGGTGGCTTGGCTAGCATGGGTGGCCCGAACGCAACCTCCGACCCACACCCTGCCAAGTCGACTAGCATGCGCAACTGGGTCGGTTCCCCAGGGTGAGCGGACACAAGGCCCCGTTGGACCACGTGGCCCCGCCTCTCAACCGAATGCGCAATCCCCGTGCCCGATGTTCAGCGCGAAGCCTGGCATCAGCGCCGCAGGCGCAGCTGAGCGCCACATGCAGTGGGGAAGCTGCCACGCTGCTGGTCCTTAACGGCTTAGGCCCGTTAGCCTGTTTTTGTTGCAGGCACACGGAATGATATTGTTAGTGCTCCCACGGCGTGGGGCCGAGGACGGGCCAGGATGTTGTACCCAGCAGAGCAGTAATTGTCTCTTTTGAAGAGGGAGAAGAGGAAGAGGAGGAGGAGGAGGAGGAGGACGAGGAAGAGGAGGAGGAGGAGGATGAAGAGGAGGGCGAGGAGGATGGATGTGGGGGGGAGACAATATTGCTAAGGCCTTACGGCCAGTGCCACCCGCCCTGGAGGCCTCGGCCCTCGCCGGAAATGGGAGGGAGAGGGCGGGCCATGGGCCCCAGGAGGGTGGTATTCTGACCCAGGACCCCCTCCCCCTCGACCCCCCCGCCCCCGCCCCCTCCGCGGGGAAGAGATCAAAGGGAAGGGGCTTCCTGTCGACTCATGACAATGTTGGTCATTTTCGTTGTGGATGGGCTGGTGTATTTCGCCTTGGCTGGCGTGCTTGAGGACGAGGGCCCAAAGAAGGGGGGGGAGCGGCGACGGACTCAGGGGAAGAAGGAAACCCGATGGCGGCTGCGACGCGACGGCGGCAGGGACAGCGATGGCGACGGAACAGCTCCTGTCACACGCCGGCAGGGTTGGCGGATTTTCCTTTCTCCTCGTTGTCCTCATCATTCACCCTCGTCGCTCCTCCCTTCGCAAGGAGGAGGAGGCGGGATGAGGAGCGAGGATTGTGGAGTGAATCGGAGGAGGGAGGGAGGAGGAGCAGGAGGAGGAAGAAGATAAGACCGCACCACGCTGACGCTCGGACTGGTCGCCTGCCAGGCCCACTGACCTTGGAAACGCCCCGGCTGGTCTGCAACATAAATTGTATCCCTCGTGCTTCCCTCTCCTTGACGAGCCTGGGGCGCTGATGCTGCAGCGACGTCCTCTGATGGAGGGTGGATACACGATCTGCCGTTTTTTGTTGTGGTTCCGTCACGCATGTATCTTTCCATGCGCGCACGTTCCAAGCTGTTCGGAAACGAATCGAGGAGGAGGGGCATAGGAAAAGGAGCAGGGGAGGAGGAAGGAACTCTTCATCCTCCTCCTCGCTGGGGTTGCCAGCTCCTTTTCCCCCTTCCCCTCCTCCTCCGCCACGTCTTCGGTCGTGCTGGCTGGGCGCCTGCCGCTTCGGCCTACCCCCCTCCGCGCTGCCTCGGCGCCCACGAGCGCGCGGCGGCGCGGGCGTCTGCGCGCGAGAGGCCCTGCCGTTCGTGGCCGTCGGGCGCGCGGAGGACGCCACCACCCTGGCCTATCCGGAGACCGCTTCTGCGGGGTGGGGCCTCCCGCCGGCCAGAGCGGTCTACCACCGCGACGGCGGAGGAGGACGGGGGAAAAGGAGGGGAGGGGAGGGGAAGTCGGAGGAGGAAAAGGTAATTATCCATACCGCTACCCTGCCCTCGTTGCCCTATGTTTGGGCCTCCTGGGCGGGCCTGGTCGCCACCGCTGGATTCGCTTCGAAATCCGGGGCAGAACGCACCCCGGGACAGGTCTGGGGAGTAGCGGTATCGGTACTTTGGGGTCTCCCCAGAAGGGGGAGGGGAGGGGAGGGGGGGCAGCTCATCGTTTCAAGTGTGGCCGTGATGAAGTGATTGCACGTCCGAGCAGGCCAGTGGCGGGAAGGGCAGTCCATTGCGGCAGCGTAGCGCAGCTGAGCACAGAGTGGTGGGCGGGCGGCGTCACCTGGGCCCGGCAACAGAACAATAAGAATAAGGAAAAGACGAGGGCCAAGAGAAGCCACATGGGAAGAATCACCAGAGACAAAAGTACCACTACCACCATCCAGGGGGGTGGCTGCCCCACCCTCTCGAGCTGGTGGCGCCTCGTTCCGGGCATGCCTCCAAAGAGTTCCCGGAAGGAGGTGCCACCAGCTCTATGGGAGGGAACGGCCACCCCCTTAGCTGGTGGTAGTGGTACATTCGTCTCTCCTGAAAGGAGGGGATGGAGCGAGGGGGAGGCGGAGGAGGATGGGCTCATCTTATGGCGCACCCCGCGATGCGGCCGCTCCGTCTTGCGGGGCCTGCCCTCTCGGGACGGCTCGGGCGTGGCCTGAAAGGGCCCCGGCGGCTTCTTTTTCTTGTGACTACGAGGAGCAGCTCAAGGAGAAGACCATGGGCATTTTCAAGAAGCTGCTGGCGGCGGCGAAGAAGAGGCTGGCTCCGAACGAGAAGCTGCGGCTGAGCTGGAACGAGGGTAGCGTGTGTTGTTTGATGGACAGGGAGGGGGTCCTGGTCTATTGTGTGGTGACGTCGTTGGTCACCTACCCAGAGCGACTGGCCTACCAGCTGTTGTACGATTTAGTGGTCGCGGTAAACGCCTTGGACCAGTCGGAGGTTCTGCAATGCGGGGAGAACGCGCTGACAGGAAAGCTCATGCAGAGGATGAAGGAACTGGTCAAGCAGTACGAGGACAGCAGTCCCCGCCCACAGGCCAAGGGAGAGGGCGAGGCGGGAAGGGAAGGGGTCGGGGAAGGGGGCGACTGGACGTGAGGCTGAGGAGGGTTGTTTGCGCGAGGCGCGGGGGGCCTTAATCCGTTCCCGGCGATTCCCGCCTGCAGCCCGACCGGCGCCAGCACCAGCCTCGCTTGCTCGGGGGCGGAAAAGAGGGGGGTGATGACTAGGGGGGGTGGATATCATGGCGTGGGCCATGATATTTCCCCAGATTTCATGGCGCCTCTTCTTGGGGGGGCTCGCAGCGCGTCGCCTTCGCTCATGTTGTCGGTGTCGGTGCCTTTGGGAGCTCGTTTTGAAGCGTATTTTGTGCCTCAGAGGTGTCTTTTTCGGCTTCGTGTGCGCCTCTTGGTGGCCTCGTGGTGCATCTTAGAGGCCTCTTGGTGCTTCCTGTGGCGTTGTGGGGCTCTGTTGGGCCGTCTTGGCTGCCTCTTGGGCTGTCTTAGGCCTTTGTTCGGACTGTCTTGGGTCTCTTTTGGGCCGTTTTGGGCGGCTCTTGGCCTGTGTTCGGGCTCGCTTGCGGCCTTGTTGGGACTCTCTTTGGCCGTCTTGGTGCGGTTTGGGCGCCTGTTTGGGCTGCTCGTGCCGTCGGAAATTCGAAGAGGCAAGAAGGCCCAACACTTTACAAAGCTTAGGCAAATCAATTAGTTTGGCTTCTTGAAGCCCGGTTGGGAGGCCTCTTGGGAGTCTCTTTGGTCGTCTTTGGCGTTTCTTGCTTTGTCTGGAGACCATCTGGATGCGGCTTGGGGCCATCTGGGGCCAGCTGGAAGCCATCTTGGGCTGTCTTGGAGCTTCTGGGTGTCATGTCGACGCCGTCGGGCGCCATCCAGCAGAATTTCTGGAGCAATTTACTCCCTCCGGGGTCTGTGGGGGATCCTCTGCGAGGCTTCTGGGGCCGTCTGGGAGCGGGTTTGGGAGCCTCTTGGGCCGTCGGGGAGCATCGGAAAGATCCAAATCTGAATTTCTAAAAAATGTACATTTCACGAAGGGAACGGCCCAATTTTTGCGTCTAGGGTCCCTTGTGGAACGCATCTCGGAGGCCCTCGGGGGGGGCTCGTGGGAACCTCTTCTGCCGTCGAGGACGCCTCGTGGCCCGTCTTCGGGCCAACTTGGACGTCTTGAGCGCTCGTGGGGCGTCCCAAACCCATTTCGAGGCCACCAGACGCGTCCCTACACGATTTTCACGCGTTTTTCCACGATTTTCGAGAGCGGATGAGACCTCCGGGGGGTTCCGGGCCGCCCGGGGCCGTCCGGCCGGACCCCCCCCCCCTCCAAATGGACCGGACCGGGCTCCCGGGGGAGGGGTTTGGGGAGGGGGAACATCTCACACGCCGATGAACCCCAAGGGGCCGTCTTGGACGTCAGTTGGCCCGTCTTGGGGCCCTCGAGGGTTGTGTAGGAACCCTCTTGGAGGCGTCTTGGGCCGTCTGGGAGCGGGTTTGGGGGGCTCTGGGGCCGTGCAGGAGCGGGGGACACCCCCAAAGACGCACGTGTGAAAAAGATACGTTTTACGAAGGAAACGAGCGATTTTTTGCGTCTAGAGGGCCTCTTGGGGGGAATCTTGGATGCCTGTGGGGGCGTCTGGGGAGGCCTCGTGAGCCGTCGGGAGGTCGTCATGTTTCTGATCGCTCTTGGACCGTCTGGGACCATGTGGAGCTTCGTGGAGGCAACTCGGAGCGCTCCTGGAACGCTCTTGGGGCCGTTTTCGGAGCCCTCTTGGGCCGTCTTGGACGCCTGTTGGCCCATCTTGGGCCCTCTAGGGGTCTGGGGGGGACCCTCTGCGAGGTTTCTGGGGCCGTCTGGGAGCGGGTTTGGGAGCCTCTTGGGCCGTCGGGGAGCATCGGAAAGATCCAAAGCTGAATTTCTAAAAAATGTACATTTCACGAAGGGAATGGCCCAATTTTTGCGTCTAGGGTCCCTTGTGGAACGCATCTCGGAGGCCCTCGGGGGGGCTCGTGGGGACCTCTTCTGCCGTCGAGGACGCCTCGTGGCCCGTCTTCGGGCCAACTTGGACGTCTTGGAGCGCTCGTGGGGCGTCCCAAACCCATTTCGAGGCCACCAGACGCGTCCCTACACGATTTTCACGTGTTTTTCCACGATTTTCGGGAGCGGATGAGACCTCCGGGCCGCCCGGGGCCGTCCGGCCGGACCCCCCCCCCCCTCCAAATGGACCGGACCGGGCTCCCGGGGGAGGGGTTTGGGGAGGGGGAACATCTCACACGCCGATGAACCCCAAGGGGTCGGCGGATTTCATGGCGCCCCTTCTTGTTTCATTACGTCCCTGGCCCCCCCCCTGGGCCGCGCACATGCCGCCGGCCATGATTTGCACCAACCCCCTCTTGAACGCCCCCCTTTTTGCCGCTCCCGACTTGCGCCCGCTAGCTTAGAATCAGCGAGCGAAGAACGGTATAAAATAAACTTTTTCGCTGTCGGGGGCGCCTGTCCTTGGGCGGCTGGAAAGTTTATACCCCTACGGTGCCCCCGACAGCGAAACAAAATTATGTTATACCGTTCTTCGCCCGTTCATAGAAGGTGTGAAAGGGGCGTGGGCGACGAGATCGACACATGCCCCCCGCCGCGTGCCAGGCCGATCCCGTGCCCAGGAGCGGTGTAAGGTGCCGCCCCTGCCAGGCCGGGGAGCGCACAAGCCGCGCCTGGGCCCAGGAGGGGCCAAGGCAAGCGGCGGCGGATGTGTGTATCGGGGGCGGCAAAGAGGGGGGTGATGACTAGGGGGGGTAGATATCATGGCGGGGGCCATGATATGTCCTCAGATTTCATGGCGCCTCTTCTTGTTTCATTACGTCCCTGGTCCCCCCGCTGGGCCGCACATGCCGCCGGTCATGATTTGCACACACCCCTCTTGGACGCCCCCCTCTTTGCCGCTCCCGAGTGTGTAAATCTCGTCGCCCCGTGGGGGAGTGGCGAAATGCAAGCGGGAGCGAGGGGAGCGAGGACCCAGGATGGGAGGGAGGGGGCGGTGGCAGCGCGGGCGGGGGGAATGGGAATGGGAATGGTCAATTCGCGAAGCGAAAAAGATATTAATTAAGGAGGCATGAGGCCTCTGGCTCGTTGCTCCGACAACGACAAAAGCTTTGGCCAGAGCCCATCCTCGATCCTTTTTAAATAATCTTGTCGGGATTTGTTGGTTCTATGAACACACTCGGATGCAAGCCCTCGAATCTGATCAGAGGAGTAAAATCCGCACGCTCCACAAAACCAGAGCTTCAAACAAACATGAAACCTGAGGTTATGTGAGGAATGCAGCCACCCCCCCGCCCTATGGACTTTACACCCTTGGGGAATTCGTGAAACAACACCGTCTACAGACTGCAGTTCAAAACAAGGCGTATTCAACCAGTCACCGAGACATTTCTTGGTCGCGGACCCCTTGCATCTGGTACACTGGCGGCCAGCGTCATCAAGGATATGCTTGGTACAGAAACGAGCGACTGTGATCGGGGCGGGCGGATGTAACCGAAGTTTTTCAGACTCTCGCCTGGGCTGCGGATCCGCAGCCATGGCGTCCATGGTGGCTCTGATGAGCCCACGCCTGACCAGCTCCGCCCTCTTCTCGTGCTGAGCGACTCGTGCACGCACAGCTGCAGGTACTCTGTGCTCCTGTGCTGCTCGACCTGCCAGCTGGTCCGCTCGATGATTCCCGTGCCACATCCACGGCGCATATCCTTTTCCTGCAGCTTCAACTTCCGACAAGTGCGAATTCATGAATATGACTGAGACACGGCCGTGTCGATCCTCAGCCTCGTGCATGTGCCGACCGATGGTTTGCCACAGGTCAGTGTCTGAATTGGCCTCACGCGGGTTGAGGTACATTCTGGCGGACCAGCCTTTCTCAACCCCTTCGTTGTCTGTGAGATACACAACTGCTCCACGTGTACGTCTCAATACATACTCCAGAACAGCTAGCTCACCACGATACACTGTCTGCCGCCGTCCTTGCAGCGGTCCATATCCTTCTCGGCCTAACCGTACAGGATCTCGTTGATCTATGATGGCGAAGCCGAGGCCAACACGTCTTAACTTCGGTGAGTGCGTGTCAGCTCCTCCACTTGCGTCGCCACAAACATATTGGTTGAACATCTGTCCCGAAGGCGAGGATATCACCGTCGGGTAGCTCTGGCTCGAAGGTCCACCGCTCCTCTTTGGAAGGTACTGGTACCTCCGTCCATGATCTGGGCAGCAATCCTCGAAACCAAAAACATTCATATTGCTCGTGCTGGCCGACTGCTTGGGGCACATACTGATCTGAATCGCGATACGCTTTGAGCTCTGTGTTCTGAGGACAAAGCCAACACCGATGCAGCTGTGCCTCGGCATGGCGTTCACCCTTCAGCAAACACCGTGGACACAGCACAAACTCAGGGTCGTCAACCTCGAACCGTGTTCTCGGCCATGTGCCGCCCGTCGCCACTGCCAGCATGGTCTTAGCCCACTGAGCTCCTTTCGGGGCTTGCGCGAGCCGACTCAGGAGTCCTCGAAGAGACTCGTTGTCGATACCATCTGACATCCCTTCCCCACAGTAATGTGCCGCTGCCTGCTGCCATAATACATCCATCACTGACGCAGATAGATCAGATACGATATCGCTGAAACCCTCGGAGCCTGTCAGCTCCTCGCTGTTGAAGTGCCACTCGATCTGCTCGCTCGTGCCCCCACATCTCTGTAGTTGCCAGTGCGACGGCGAGATCGGTTCCCACTTGTACTGCATAAGCATCGCGATCACTGCACTGACTGGCCTACGAACGTGGCGAGCCTGGAGCAGGAAGGAGGGGGGGGGTCAGGGGCTGCCCGGGTGCCCCTGACCACCCTCGCCCCCCCCCCCCCCAGCTCTGGCCGCCCCGTGGGTGCCGATCCCGCTCGGGCGGATGCAGCACGTCTTCGCTTTAGGGGGGGCGGGGGGGGCTGCTCGGGCTTGCGCGGACTGTCCCCTGCTGTATGTATAGGGGGACGTGGGAGGAGCGTGTGGCGGAAGAGGCCACAGGGAGGGGAGGGGGAGGAGGGAGAGGTGCGGGATGGAGGGGCGAATCTGGCAAGAGGAGAAGGCAGGGGGGGAGCAGATGCAAGGCGGGAGCTCTCCTCCTGGCCCTCCTTCTTCGGTTCCTCCCTCTTCCTCTCGCGGCGTCGTCCGTTGTCCCGCCTCCCCCTCCTCCTCTCAACCCCTCCCTCTCCAGCATTTTAGCATTTCCCTGCCGTCTGCGTTTCCCCCACTCCCCCATTCTCGCTCCCTTCTCCCTCATTCACGTTTCCTTCTCTTGTCTCGTTCTTTCCCCCCCTCACCCAAGTTTCTCCTCCCTCATGCATCACATTTTTTTTTCTTCGCCACGCTTCCTTACCTAGTGTGTTGTATTTTTGATCCCGCATAACAGCCAGTCGCACGTGGCCAGATTGAGGTTCCAGAACTGTGCGGTCGAGTTTGCAACAGCGTGTTTGTCATTACACCGCGTGGGGTGCGCAAATCGCGTGTCGCAAGGTTCGCCTTTCATTATGGCTTTCTGTGTTGCCATTCGAAGACATGCCACCGTCCCAGTCCCAGTTGTTCGTCATTCATGTCCGCCTCCTCCCCCTTCAACCCTCATTCCTTCCTCCCCCCTCCTTCTCAGGAGGATACGGGAAGAGCAACCCAGAAGAGGAGGAGGCGGAGGTGGTAGGAGGGAAGATGGAAGGTGGAGGCGGAGGAGGAGGAGGAGGAGGAGGGCCCGAGCAAACCAAGGATGCATCCATGCGGCATTTGAGAGTCTGCGAGGAGCGGAGGGAGTACGTAGAGCATCCCCGTATGTTCTATGGATTCCTCGAATCGCGCCGTTAATGGTCGGTGAGGACGTTGAACAAAGAACAGTGGATGCATCAACAGTGGTGAAATCCACCGTCTGGTCTCAAGGCCGCTTTCGCACATTTCTTACGAGCCGCCCTCCATCGTTGCAGGAGTTGGGAACCCCGCATTGTAGCATCACAGAGTGAGAGTTGGGGCATGCTGAACGCTATCGAAAGGAAACCACTGCTGGAGTCGGCAACACCCTCCATGTACGCGTTGCGCGCCGTGAGTCTGCATAACATAATGTCTGAGGTGGTTCCACGCGAGAGCACCGTTTCGCTGTACCATGAACTACACTCCATCCACGTACAAGTTGGGAACTCGCATCTGACGGATGTACGCGGCGCTAAGGCAGAGCCACGTGTGAACACCCACATTCCATCCACGTAATGGTTGCAAGCGTTCAGACGAAGGCGCGTTGCGCCTGTGTGAGAGACCATTTTTTCCAGCCGCCATCCATTCGTGCACATCTGCAGGGATCTCCAAACTTTTCAATAATGATAACAAGGTGCTCAGGATCGTACCCAGCCGATCTGCAACAAGTGACATCAACCGCGGGCCCATCCATAGATAATGCTGACGGGAAACGACATACCTTCCCACGTACAGATTTTGTAGGAAGTCATGGCGTCATGTATTGGACCCACGTGAAGAACTTCAGCGCGAAATGATGCGGAGGGGGAGAGGGATGCCGGACGACATCGATGAGGGGGCAGGAGGAAAGTATAGAAGGCATCTGCACACGACCGCTCCGCAGAACCAGGGAGGCCGAGGTACTGTCTGGATCTGCGTAGCACCGCACTCCGCTGGACCCCCCGGGGGGCGCCGCAAAGTGGCGACGGCTCGATATGACCACGGTCGCGCGCCTGGCTGCACCCGGGGAGGACGAGGCCTTTTGTTCGTGTTGTTTGCGTGCAGGTTACCTTTCCGCTGGGCCGCCCCTCCCTTGGGGACGCAGGAGAGCGGCGATGGTCGCCCTGGGGGCCGCTCCTTGGGGCGCAGCAGCCTCGCGACAGATGTGCGCTGGGCAGCACCCCGAGGGGGCGAGGTCTGCGTACGGCGCCACCGAGGGCTGAACCTAAACGTTGTGTTGCTGGACGCCGGCTGTGTTTTGTTTTTCGTTTGGGCAGGGATGTGCAGGAAAACAGGCAGAGCAGAACGAACAACAGCACGAACACAAAGCGAAGAACAGCGCGTAGGTCCAGCCCTGACCTGGCGACACCACACTGGACCCCTGGGTGCGCATCAAAATGACATCAGATGCGCTCCTGGCAGGACCCTGTGAGGGCCAGGTCTCGCAGTCCTAGAGGTTGACGCCAACACCAATATCGGCGGTGTGCCTCCACCGAGGGAGGAAGATACCGATCTCGGTGATGGTGGTAATATTCTGGCTGCCGAGGGGGCCGACGTACGACCAACAACACCGAAATCCAGGATCCTCTTCCCCCCTGTGGAGGCACCCCCCCGTGCTGGTGTTGGTGCCCATTTCCAGGCCTCCACAGGTCTCTTTCGGGCCTGCGTGCGGCGCCACCCCGCCGGACCCCGACGGGCGCGGCAATCTGGTCACGGCCCCACGCAGCTCGCTGCATGCGGGCAGTGCGAGATGTAGCTCGGCCCGCGAATGACGCCCCTCCGCTGGACCCCCGAGGGACGCTGCAACGTCTCGACAGCTGCGCGGCTGGCGGCCCTCAGGGAGGGCGGGGTCTCCTTCGCGTCTACGTGGGCACCCACTCCGCTGAACCCCCAGGAGGGCTGCAAACCGGCAGCCGGCTCGCGGCTGGCCGCGCACTTGGGGAGGGCGATGCCTAACCGACCGCGGGCGATAATAAAGTACCCCACTCCTTAACCCCCTCTATTTTTTTAATCCCCGACCACAGGGATCTATCTGTGGGGAAGGCGGAGGGGGGTGCGCAATGAGGATCAGTAGGAGGCGGAGGCCCAAGAGGTTTGCGGAGGCCAGAAAAAAAAGAAGGGTCAGGCGACCTCCAGTCATCTCGATCCCCGGTTTTCGAAGGAGAAGAAGGAGGAAGGAGGAGGAGGAGGAGGAAGAAGAAGAGGAGGAGGAGGTGTAGGAGGAGGCAGGAGGAGGCAGGAGGAGAAGAGATGAGGGAGGAGATGCATGACGAGCAGGATGAGGCCGGGCTGCTCGTGGTCTGAGGCGGCCAGGCCCGATCCCCGCATATTGATTTCGATGTCGATCCAATGCAATTCACGCAGTGGCGAAGCGTCCTGGCTCGCCTACAGCGCCACCAAACAATGTTCTAAGAACCTTTCGTGGTTTCCACAACTTGTTCTTAGAACATTTCTGGCGGAGATTGTCTTGTTTTATCACATCGGGTTCATGGTCTAAGAACTTGTTTTTGTGATTCGAACATTTGGGCGTTCTAAGAGCATTTCGTGGTAGGACTATAGGAATGCCGGGACGGCCGGTCCCTGCTCAAGCAATCCAGCGCGAACCGAGCCCCTCTCCAGCTCGCACAAGGGCGAGCCCGACCAGCGATCCCAAGCGATCCAACGCCGCGGCGATTCGGGCGCGTTGCGACCCCAAGCTGGTCTGGCCCGAGTCAGCGACTCGGCCAATCTCAGGCCTTTGGGGGAGCCGGAAGGGGAGCCTCACCGAGGACTCGCCTCGGCCTTGCTCGAGACGACGCTTGAATCGCTGGTCCGAGAGGCTCCATCCCCTCCCGTCGTCTCCCTTCTGCTTCCTCCGCCTGGCCGTCGCATCGGCCAGCTGCCATCGCCGACGCGTAGCCCTCGCTCTGATGCCGTCTCCTGGAGGAGGAGGAGGAGCAGGAGGACGAGCAGGAGCAGGAGCAGGAGCAGGAGCAGAAGGGGAGAAAGCGGATCATGAGAGGAAAAGGAGGAGAAGGAGGAGGAGGAGGAGGGGGAGGGGGAGGCAGGAGGAGGAGGAGGATCGCCCAGTCCGAGAAACGTCAAAAGGAGGAGGAGGAGGAGGAGGAGGAGGAGGAGGAGGAGGAAGGGCAGGAAGGGGAGGAGCAGCAACAAAACAAGAGGAGGAGGAGATGGAGGAGGAGGACGCACGGGGGGGAGGAAGGGGGCGGGGGGGGGGAGAGCAGGCCAAAGCGGGCAGGGCGGAGGCGAATGAGGGCGCCCCCTGGAGGACCCCAACAACTTCCCGATGCTCCAGCGGGCGATGGACCCCCTGCAGGTCAGCTCCAGCGGCGGCAGAGACTTCGCCCACGGCGGGGACGCGCGCCTCAGCGACAGACGGACGGAGGGCGGGCCCCGTGGAGGAGGAGGAACACCAGGACGAGGAGGACGAGGACGAGGAGGAGGAGGAGGACGACGAGGAGGACGAGGACGAGGAAGAGGAGGAGGGACGAGGAGGGACTTCGGTTCCTCCCTCTTCCTTTGGCGGGGTCTTTGGTTCAGGGGCCGTGTTCCGAGGCTAGGTGCCGTGGTGCGTGCTCGGTACACATCTGGGCGCGCCTTCCGCGCGCGGCGGCCGCGCGCGGAAGGGCTACGCGGATAGACCGCGTGCGGCCCGCAGCGGCAGGACGAGGAGGACGAGGACGAGGACGTGGAGGAGGAAGAGGAGTGCGATATCGATGTGTGTAGATATGCGTTCTTTGTGTGAATATAGGTATGCAGATATGGACTCATGCATGCATGCGCGCACGCACGCATGCATGCATGCACGCACTAACACCTGCATGCCGGTACGACTGTATGAATGAAGGCACGTATTGATGCATGCATGTATGTACGCATGTATGTCTGAATGCATGCAGATATGTACGTAGTTGTGTTTGTATGTGAGCATGTGTGCAGGCCTTGTTGGTATGCACGTATGCCTGCATGCATGCAGGTATGTATGTAGGCGTGTATGCATGTTTGTATGTATGTATGTATGTATGTATGTATGTGTGTATGTATGTGTGTATGTGTGTATGTGTGTATGTGTGTATGTATGTATGTATGTATGTTTGTATGCATGTATGTATGTATGTATGTATGTATGTATGTGTCTATGTATGTATGCATGCATGCATGTATGGATGCATGTATGTATGCATGTACGTATGCATATATGCATGTACGTATGCATGTATGCATGCATGCATGTACGCATGCATGCACGATCACCTGCATGCCGGTATGACTGTATGAATGAAGTCATGTTTTGTTGCACACATGCATGCATCTATATATATATATATACACGTATGTGTGTATACATGCATGCAGGTGTGCCTGTATTTGTGTTTGTATGTGTTCATGTGTGCAGGCCTTGTTGGTATGCACGTATGCATGCATGCATGCAGGTATGTATGTATGTGTGTACGTATGCGTGTATGTATGAAGTATGTACATATGCATGTATGTATGCATGCATACATGCACGAACACCTGCATGTCGGTATGACTGTATGAATGAAGGCATGTATTGATGCATGCACGTATGCATGTATGTACGTGTGTATGTCTAAATGCATGCAGGTATGTATGTAGTTGTGTGTGTATGTGTTCATGTGTGCAGGCCTTGATGGTATGCACGTATGTATCATGCAGGTATGTATGTATGTGTGTATGTTCGTGTGTCTGTACGTATCTATGTATGTATGTATGCATGTATGTATGTATGCATGCATGTATGCATGTTTGTATGTATGTATATGTGTATGTATGTATGTATAATATATGTGTAGCGGTGGGCTTATGCATATGTGTGTATGTATGTGTGTACATATATGTGTATGTGTATGTCTGTATGGGTTATGGATGTATGTATGTGCGTATGTATAGATGAAGTTATGCATGCACGCATGCATGTGTGTATGCGTGTGTGGATGAATGTATGCATGTATGCATGTACGGTGTTGCATTGAAGTGCAATGGAATGCGCTTTGCTTCAATGTAACGCAACGTATTACAATGCTATCCAACGTACTGTAGTACAACTGTATTGATTTACGGTGTAACGCTATGCAATGTGATGTGGTGGAATGTAATGTCATGTGATGTAATGCGCTGTACGTGTCCCACATCTCTCCCTCCCCTCTGCCCCTACATCCCTCTTCATTCCTCCACCCAACTCCCAACTCCGTCCTGCACGTTCTCTGTCCTCTTTGGCCCGCTCTGTTTGGTCTTCTCTTTCGTCACCTTTCCCACCTCCCCCTCGCCTTCGGAACTTCCATCCTATATGCGGTTGTTCCTTTCGCCCATCATGTGGCTCATCCTCAAGGTCCTTGCTCCTCCGTCTCCCACTCTTCCGCCCATCATACCCTCTTTCCCGCCTTCCATCACACGAAGGGGGCACATGCAGGAAGATGGGACTCTTCAGCGCCGCCACCGCTCAGGAAGAAGCTCATGATCGGGCTGGCCATGCTGATGGTGCTCGTGGTGATTATCATTATCGTGCTATGCTCATAACCCTGGCGACGCGCGGCAATGGTGGCGACCAGAGCGAATTCAAGTCAGCATGTGTTGCAGCGACCCCGCGAGTGTTTTAATTATTGCGGCTCGGGGTCGCTTGTGTTGCAAGATCATGAGCGGCATTGCCGCGAGCTGTTTGCTGGAGACAACCTGCACTGCGAAGAGACAGACGGCGGCCATTGACAGGCAAGGCAAGAGCATGAGGACGGGAGACAGGAGGTAGGTGGAGCGCAGCATATCTCGGAGGCTTGCAAGTTGATATTGCCACCAAGTCCAGTGAGCGCCTCCGCCTGGGTCGAAGAATAAACATCTGCATAAACGCATACTTCCAGAGGTAAGCCCTTTTCCTTGAGTCGGCAGCCGACCCCCCCCTGGCGGCGCCTCCGGCGTTGCCCCTGGCGCTCTCCCGCACGCTAGGAAGAGAGATCCGGCACCGAGCCAAGAAACATCCGCACGGACCTAAGACAGTTTGCTATGCTTGTGCGGTGCGTCTGTGGGCACCCGCCCGGGCGGTAACAGCGCGGCATCCTGCGAGGTCACCAGAACCGAGCTCGTGGATCAGCTTGCCTCAGGGGAGCGGCGTGCACATTTCGTAGGCCTGCACATCTCGTAGGCCTTCCTCCTCCTCCTCCGCCTCCTCCTCCTCCTCCTTGGCCCGCGGAGGCACAACAGGCGATGGGTCTCGATCCTCCAGGCCTTTGGAGTCACTCGGCCGTGTGCTTCTTTTCGTCGGCGAGGACCGCCGAGGAGCGTCTCGGAGCATCGGATTGAAAAGCACACGCGCGAATCTGAAGCATGCAGGGGGGAATGGAGCTCAGATCTAACGTGCGTCGGCCCTTGTGTACAGGCTACTCGACCAAAAGGCCACGAACGATTGCTAAAGGCCGCTCGAGGCAACTAGCGGCTGCCAACAGGCGACCCAAGGCCACTAGAGGCCGCTGATAGCCTTCAGGCCGCCAAAGGCCACTGAGGGCTACTTGATCGATGCCCTGGCATCGCTCGAACGTGTGCATTTGTTCCTCGGCGAGAACCATCGAGGACCATCCTGGACCATCGAGCAAGAAAACAACACACACGCACGAAACCGAAAAAGGCACGGGACATGGACGTCCGAGCGGTGGCAAGATGCGATATACAGCCACAAACCGTAATAAGGACACGCGATGTTGCTCAGGGTGCCCTTGCGTCCTCGGGGGTTTCGTCGTCCGCCGCCCCAGAAAATCCCAACTTCGGCTTCCAAGGGTCTTGCGTCCTTGCCGCGCGTCCTCGTTAGGGTTTTGACTGTATGTCACAAGGCGCTTCCAGGAAGACTCACCGTCAGGCCGAAAAAGGGTTTTGACTGTATGTCACAAGACGCACGGAACCGAAAAGTGCACGGGACATGGACGTCCGAGCGATGGCAAGATGCGGTCTATGTCACAAGGCGCTTCCAGGAAGACTCACCGTCAGGCCTGCTGCCGGGGATGCTCAGGAGGTCGGCCCTGCAACAGCATCTTGCGTACGGGGGCAGGACTCGCCAGCGCGCTCGCGCGCGCGCGCCCTCGCCCCGTCGTCGTTGCCGCGTCGTGCTCTTCACGGACCTCCCGCGGGGTTTGCTCGTCGCCACGGCCGGCTCGGGGTCGAACGTCTTCTGGTCGAGAGCAGCCTGGCCGCCTTCATATGAAGGGGCCCCAGGACACACAAATACATACACTCAAATAAACCTATTCCCAATCTGTTCCCATATTCTCTGGGTTTTGGTCTTCCCCCCCACTTCCCATATGTTCCCACATTTTCCTGGGAATCGACGATTTATTGTGTCTGTGTGTTTTTTCCTCTCCTGATCATAGGCGAGCCAGGGCTTATCACACCAAAAGGGGATAGGATCGGCTCTCCGGCCGAACCGTCCCAGAACGCAACCTTTTTTGTAGCTTGTTTGTCGCGTTTTCTGCTTTCTCTTCGCGTCCATCTGCGCGAACGAAATGGGCACGGAAAGAATGGGTACAATGCCCAACATCAGTTCCTGTTCATTTTGAACAGGACTCGCTGTCCGCGCCGCCGCGGCCTGTGCCCATTCGAGACAGAAGGCCGCCTGCCCAACAGCGGCCGCTGTTGGTTTGGGACAGCATTTGTTGTTGGGCCTTGTGCCAATAATTTCCGTGCCCATTTCGGGCGTCCAAAATACAGGTTGCGCTCGGAAGAGGGACTCGTGCCCTCTCGGGTGTCCTCTCGGATCGATCGCGGCTGGCCCAGATCCGCTCCAAAAGGGCTCCTGGGACCCCTCTTGCTCCGTCTTTCGAGGTGGACCCGGGCGTCTGACACTTTGGGCGCTTCATGGACGCGCTTGCGCAGCGCGAGCCAGGTGTCATGGGGTGGGTGCGAAGAGCCAGGTGCGCCGAGGCTCCCCATCGATCTGGGAGGTGCCCTCGGGGCGCCTGCGGCGAGCCCCAATGGTCGCCCAAGGCCGATCGGGGAGTCGAAAATCCAGCCGCCCAGCCATTCCCGCCCTACCTATGTGCCTATGTGCGTCCTGGTCCAGTGGCCCGTGTACCTTTCGGACAATGGGCGGCGGGGCAAGCGGTGCAGACGCCATCGGCGCACTCCGGTCCGATAGGACACTCGGCCCGTTGACTAGGACAGAACGTGGCTCAGTGGGAAGGGGGGAGTGGTCCGATGTCAGATGTGGCGCGAACGCGCTTAGTTTGTCCCTCGCCATCTCTCCTCCCGCCTCCCTCCACGGATTCGGCGTGAGCGACGGCGCGGGGCAATTCCATCCGCGCCTTTCACTTCCTCCCCTGGTGCTGGTGGGGGGCCGCGAGTGCGGACGTCATGATGCGTCTCAATTGCGGTTTCGGTTTTCTTGCGTCGCCAGAGGAGGAGGAGAATGCGGAGGAGGAGGAGGAGGAGGAGGAGGAGGAAGAGGAGGAGGAGGAGGAGGAGAGGCGGGACTAGGAAGAAGGGGGGGGTGGAAGAGGATGGGGAGGAGGAGGAGGAGGAGGAGGAGGAGGAGGAGAAGGAACTGCAGGACGAGGAGGAGGAGAGGAGAAGGAGGAGGAGGAGAGGAGGAGGAGGAGGAGGAGGAGAGGAGGAGGAGGGAAGTGGAGGAGGAGGAGGAGGAGGAGGAGGAGGAGGAGGAGGAGGCGGACGAGGAGAAAGAGGGGGGGAGGTGGAAGAGGATGGGGAGGAGGAGGAGGAGGAGGGAAGGAACTGCAGGAGGAGGAGGAAGGAGGGGAGGAAGAGGAGGAGGAGGAGGGAGTTGGAGGAGGAGGGAAAGGCTGAGGAGGAAGAGGCGGAGGAGGGGCAGAGGAGGCAGGAGGGGAGGCGGAGGAGGAGGAGGAAGGAAAGGAAAAGGAGGAGGACGAGGAGGAGGAAAGAGAGGAGGGAGTGCAGAAGGAGCAGGAGGAGGAGGAGGAGGAGGAGAAGGAGGGAGAGGGCGGGAGAGGAGGAGGGGAGGAGGAGGAGGAGGAAGAGGAGGAGGATGGGAGGGGAGGAGGAGGAGGAGGAGGAGGGGAGGAGGAGGAGGAGGAGGAGGAAGAAGGAGAAACATAAGAAGGAGAAAAACAAGAACAGTCAGAAGGACATGGACAATAACACATAAGAGTTTCAGAAGAGGAGGAGGAGGAGGGGGAGGAGGAAGAAGAACAGGAGGAGGAGGAACAGGAGGCGGAGGGGGAGGGGAAGGGGGAGGGGGAGTTTCCCAACCAGCCTGTTTTGGCTTCTCGATTTGAAGCGACAGCGCCCCGCGTTCTCCTCCTTTCCTCCTCCTCCTCCCCCTCCTCCTTCCTCCCATGCGTGCCTTTACCCTCTGCATTTCCACTTCGGCACTCTGCTCTTCGCGTGCCCATACTGGCACACCAGGGATTCCACCCAAGGCCCCAGTGGCCGCGTTCACATGCGTCCACCCCGCCCACCGCATGCCCACTTCGGCATACCCCTCACACGGTCCGTGGCCCAACAGGGATCTTCACCCAAGGCCCCAGCGGCCGCGTTCATATGCGTCCACCCCGCCCACAGCATGTTCATTTAGGCACACCGACGTCCCGTGTGAGGGGTGTGCCGAAATGAGCATGCGGCGGGCGGAGAGGACGCATGCGGACGCGGCCATTGTGGCCTTCGGTGGAGCTCCCTATGGGGCCACGAAGCGTGGGATGGGTGTGCCGACATGGGCATGCGTTGGGTGTGGAGGACGCATGTGGACGCGGCCACAGGGGCCTTCGGTGGAGCTCCCTATGGGGCAAAGGACCGTGTGAAGGGTGTGCCGAAATGGGCATGCGGTGGGCGGCGAAGGCGCATGCGGACACGGCCACTGGGGCCTTGGGTGGAGGCTCCCTATGGGGTCACGGACCGTGTGAAGGGTGTGCCGCAATGGGCGTGCGGTGGGCGGGGCGGACGCATGCAGACGCGTGGGATGGGTGTGCCGACATGGGCATGCGTTGGGTGTGGAGGACGCATGTGGACGCGGCCACTGGGGCCTTCGGTGGAGCTCCCTATGGGGCAAAGGACCGTGTGAAGGGTGTGCCGAAATGGGCATGCGGTGGGCGGCGAAGGCGCATGCGGACACGGCCACTGGGGCCTTGGGTGGAGGCTCCCTATGGGGTCACGGACCGTGTGAAGGGTGTGCCGCAATGGGCGTGCGGTGGGCGGGGCGGACGCATGCAGACGCCCATTCCGGCACACCCCTTACACGGTTCGTGGCCCCATATGGATTCCACCCGGGGCCCCAGTGGCCGCGTTCACATGCGTCCACCTTGCCCACCGCATGTCCACTTCGGCACATCCTTCACATTGTCTGTGGCCCCATAGGGAGCTCCACGGAAGGCCCCAGTGACCGCGTTTGCATGCGTCCACCCCGCCCACCGTATGTCCGTTTCGGCGTACCTCACACGGTTCGTGGCCCTTAGAGGGAGCTCAACCCAAGGCCCCAGTGGTTGCGTTCACATGCGCCCCCCACCAATTTCG